AGCACCTGTAGCCTATCTCTTAATGACAGCGCCGGGCGTTTGGTCGACAAGTAATGAAATAGTATAGCGTACGGCTTATGCGCCCATTTCGAGATACCGGTGCTAAACAGTACGGTGGCGAGTATCAGGCTCACTAAAAACACCATGAAAATGGTGTTGAATACTTTATATAGCCTGGTCGTGTTGGCGTTATGTAAGCCATATAAACACAACTGTATGGCAATCGTACCGAAATAATACGTTACAAACAGTATAAACCTATAGAAATGGTTGGCATCCCGGACCCCACGTTCCCAATAATTATGCATCCGAATGTAGTACATTAAACGAGCATGGTCATTGGCAGTTACGGCTGATACTATATTTTCATTAATTACACGATAGGTTATCGTGAGGTAAATGGCCGCCAAAAAACATATCAAATTACCGTATATTAAGGGGCCGACACACTGAAAAAATGCCAAGTTCATTTCTATGTTGTACATAAGCATGATAATTAGCCGTACGGTAGTAGGCTGCTGAATATATAATAACAGGTTCAGGGTAATGTAGCATGTGCTATATGCAATCATTTGCGCGTAAAATAAGGGCCATACTACATACTTGCCCAACATATTAACCGCAAATAATAACGTACGCTCCCTGTCCCGGCTAATTGTGTATTTGAACAGGTTATATTTGTACTCATAGTACATACGATAATTATGCAATGATCCAGTTAACTCGTAATAATGTCCAATCACACATACTACCAATAAACCTACAAAACCTGATAGTAGCATGGTGTAGACTAACCTACGATTTCCGATAAATTGCTCCAGATCAAATAGTGCATTACATACATCAGGATCAGTTACAACCATAGCGGCAAATATGTGCATGATACTAATCGCCATTAAGCTCCTTAATGCTATAATAACACACAACCTACCGGTGCCAGTCATGTACTCATTGGTACTGCGGTATAGCGTGACGAATGTGTTGGCGCCGAACCTCTCCATCATTTCAATGCCAGCCCTCGCGTCCACATTATTGTCGATAAATGTATTGACTTTACGTTTAATTACAGTTAGTTTTGCATTATATTTACGTTTAATTGCATTCACAATTTGATTCATTTCTGTAATTAAAGACATATTTATTTATAAATATAATTTAACATTAAACCAATAAGTTTATATGAGTATATATTATATTGAATATTTTAGGTACATGCTTTAACATTCTAGAAATAATATACTGTAGTTAGTATTGATAATAGAAAAAAAATAATTGATTATAAAATCGATGCTGGTGCTATATTGATTTAATGATTTTTTCCGATTATTTTAAGTTTGAAAGCGATATGCATTAGTATATTACTGCTTTATAAATATATATATATAAATAATTTCAAGGTTTTGGTTTCTTTATACTTAATTTTCAAGTATTGCTAACTTCTTTATATTTTTTAATATTTTTCAAAATAGTCTTTAAGTATTAGATTTTTTATTTTAAAAAATATTATATTGTTAATATCTCTATAGCAAAATAAACTTTATTAAAATTTATAAATAAAATTTAATATTTAATATTAAAATTTTGGATTATCTAAAAATAATTATACGACTTTTGTAAAGTAAAACACATTATATATATGAAACTGAACTTTTAGCACATTAGGCACACCGAAAGTGAGATAGCTTATAATATAAATCACACATTAATGATTGATCAAACAACTTTTTAAAATATCCAAAACTTTGGTCATTTTATTTGTGCGTTAATGTACACTTCAATATACTAATATTTTATTGTATAACAAAATTTTTGTATTTCATTAGTAAGATTAATTGCTTTTTATTATTTTAAACATCAAACATAAATTAACTCAAATATTACTATAATACAGAAAATAATTTTCACTAAAAAACAAATTAACAGTACAACATACAGTAAGTTTTGAAAACAGTAAGTTATTATCTAACAATGCAAAAACGGGAATTGTTCTTATGGATTAGAAAAGTTTGAGTCCATGTTATAGTTGAGTCCGCCATCGATGACCAGATTATGACCGGTGATGAACTCGGCATCGCTAGAGGCCAGGAATACCACACCTTTGGCGATGTCCGAGGGCTGACCTATTCTGGCCAATGGTGTGCTTTTGATGGTCTTGTTATACTGGGCCACAGCCACCGGGTCTGTCGTATTCAACGGGTGGGACAACACTGAGCCGGGACTGCAAACATTTATTATAACCTTTAATTAAACTTTTATATTATTTGTCAAATGCAGACCTGATTGCATTCACTCGGATCAGTGGTGCCAACTCTAGCGATAATACCCGGGTAGACATATCCAGGCACTCCTTAGCCAGTCCGTAAGCTAACATACCTTTTTGCTATTGAGTATGTCAAATGCAGACCTGATTGCATTCACTCGGATCAGTGGTGCCAACTCTAGCGATAATACCCGGGTAGACATATCCAGGCACTCCTTAGCCAGTCCGTAAGCTAACATACCTTTTTGCTATTGAGTTAATTTGTATTTAAATTAATTGTAATGAAATGAAGTTAGCTAGTTGATAAATGACATACCGGTCTCTGTATGATAACACTGGATATACTAATGATAGATCCCTTTGTTTTTTGCAGGTATGGGACGGCCTGTTGTATGAGCTGTAGGGCCGCCGTGACATCGATTTTCTCATACGCCGCGAAAGTGTCCCAAAATTTTTTGTCCATAAGATTAGCCGTCAAATAAATACCCGCGTTATTGACCAATACATCCAATTTGGTGAACGTCTTGATGGTCTCATTCACTAGTTTTTCCAATTCATCCGTTTTTGTGAGGTCTGCCGCCAGTCCTAATGGCTATTGATATCTAGTTTTTATATATTGTTTAGTTTTGGTTTAAAATTGTATTTACTTTAAGCTTTTGCGGCGATAAGTCTTGAGCCTCTTTGACCACTCGCTGTATGTCCGCATCCTTTGTACCGGTGACCACAACATTGGCCCCCAATGCCGAGAATAGTTTCACGATTTGTTCGCCGATTCCAGAACTACTTCCGGTCACCAAAACTACTTTTCCCGTCAAATTTCGTGAACCCCTCACCTCGTCGTAGATATCATTGGATTGAAATGCGAATACGTTTGTAATAGCAATGAATGCTAATAAATATATGGCAAACATTATGTTTAGTTATTTTTGGTAAATATAATTATTTTATAACTGCTACCTAATAAATAATAGAGTAATGCGTTAATTATGTGATCTTATATACTAGCGTTTGGTATAATTTTGGTCCAATCCCAAATACAATGTGATAATTTACACATAAAACCATAACATACCTGAGCATTTGATACTTTGAACACATAAATGATTTTAAAATTAAAAAACAATAAGAGATGGGTGGTATGAGATGATAATCATAGGCCTTGATAATAATTATTTAGAAAATATGCTATTTCTCACAAAATGAAACAGAAATGAATATAATTGTGGGCACATTACGCTTAATTAATCTGTTTTATATTACAGAATATTATATAGATTTCAAAATAATATTGTGTAATAGGATTTTAGGAATATTATTGTCTAAACAAATACCAAAACATTTTTTCCTTACTTTTTTATCAACCCTTGATAAATGGTGCAATAATAAATTATATATTTTGCGTACACATGAAAAGTAAAATCATGTTATAATCTTATCTTTGCAATAATGTGTGAGAAATCCGACACATTTAATGGATACAAATATTTGTAGATCTGAAATTCAAGACTTAATAGATAAGGTGCATAATTAAATATACTTTAATGTGTAATAATAAAACAGTTTCAATATAAATTATATCATGATACAGTAGTTTAAAATAGTAATCTTATGGAAAACATTTAAATTTGAATAAGATTCACTTTAGTTATAAGCACTAAAAATACACACAAAAAATATAATTTTTGATTTTATCCTATAATTTAAAACTTATGAGAATATATCCATAACGTTGCCTGGTTCAGTATAGACAAAGCCACCGTCAATGACAATATTAGCGCCGGTTATAAACTGGGCATCACTTGAGGCCAGGAATGCCACCCCTTTGGCCACATCTAACGGCTGTCCCAATCTCTCCAGTGGTGTCAGAGTTGTTATCTTATGAACCATTTTCTTAATCAAATCTACGCTTAGATCCATTGATGGGATTTGAGTTTCACCGGGACTGGAGTTTACGTGAATAATGTTTTAATTATTTTATATTAGATAAACATTTTTAGAAAAACTCATTCAAAAAAGTTTCCAAAATAATTTATCCATTACTTAATAGTATTGATACGAATCCCTTGCGGACCCAATTCAAGGGCCAATACCTTTGTCAACATATCGAGGGCTGCTTTCGCGGAACTGTACGCCAAAAACGGATTCGACTGTATTTTCATTGAATTGTTTTAATAAATTATTTAGTTTTGTCTCAATTATTACCGGATGTAAAGCAGCAATACTTGAAATGTTAATAATAGTGCCGTTAGTTTTGGTCATAAATGGGAGCGAGAGGTGAATGGTGTGGACAATGGCTCGCAGATCAGTATTGAACACCTCATCAAAGACTTGCATAAAGTTTGCGTCACTGATGGGAGACATGGGGTAAATGCCGGCGTTGTTCACCAATACATCCAGTTTGCCAAACGTGTCAATAGTTTTGTTGATAAGAGTATTCAAGTCATCACTTTTGGTGAGATCTGCCACCACTTGTAACGGCTATACAATTAAGACAGTTAATTTAATTGATAATTAATTATACTCTAAGATAATACCTTCAGTCCATAGGGAGATAGTTGCTGTACTTCTTGAGCCACTTTCTCAATCTGTGTTTCATTCCTACCGGTGACCACCACTTTGGCACCTAATATGGAGAATAGTTTGACAATACCCTCACCGATACCAGTGCTCGATCCGGTCACTAAAACTACTTTTCCCGTGAAATTACGTGAGTTTTTCACATTTTCGTAGTCTTTTATATCGAAATCATTTGTGTTATTATTATCTGCATTTACTATTGAGAGTAATACTAACAAAAGTATTGACTTCATTTTTAATATTAGTTAATGTTATTAATGTTAGAGTAGTAATAATTTTATTATACAAGAATTTTTGTAGACATTCAGCATTTATTCATTGAAACAAATGTTATTTTCTCACAACTGCTAAAATCCAATAAAGATATAAAGAATATTATTGTACTTTTAATATTAGAAATAAATAAACATTTATTATACGATATACAGTATCAGAACAAGATTTAATTATTTTTAAAAGTAATGTTATTATAATTTTTAAAGTTAAACAAATTAAACAAATTATTTAAATACAATTTTACATGTATAATTTTTTAAATACTATGCCATATAAGTCTATAGTATTAGTTTCCTTTCTAATCTACTAAATATTTTTATTTCATTTCTTACTTACATAAAGATATTGAATTTTAATGCGATAAACGTCAGATTTTATGATATAAGTTGCATAATATCACCTGGTATATTATACTCTAGGCCACCATCTATGACCAGATTAGCACCAGTAATATACTGGGCATCAGTTGAGGCCAGAAATACCACCCCTTTGGCGATATCCAGGGGCTGACCGATTCTGTGAAGTGGTGTCAACTTTATGAAACTTTCTATCATTTTCTTCACTATTGGGTCCTTTGGGTCCATAACAGGTGTTTGAGTTGAGCCGGGACTACATGCAACAAATTGTTACAAATAAGCACACATTGAGTTTATATCGACCTAATTGTGTTGATACGTATGCCTTGTGGTCCCAATTCAAGGGCCAATTCACTCGTTACCATATCGAGAGCCGCTTTCGCTGTACTGTACGCCAAAAATGGATTTGACTGTTGGATATAAATTGTTTAATTAAAATCTATAAGTTTATATGGATAATCTAATTAATTATTTGTTATAAATACCGGTCGGAAACCCACAAGACTTGAAATGTTAATAATAGTGCCGTTAGTTTTGGCCAAATATGGGAGCGAGAGGTGAATGGTGTGGACAATGGCTCGCAGATCGACGTCCAACACTTGATCAAAGACCTGCATGAAGTTTGTGGCACTTATGGGAGACATGGGGTAAATGCCAGCGTTGTTCACTAATACATCCAGTTTGCCAAACGTGTCAATAGTTTTGTTAATCATATTATTCAAGTCATCACTTTTGGTGAGATCTGCCACCACTTGTAACGGCTATACAATTGATTTTAAAATAAGTAATAAATGCATTACTATTATGCTTTTGATATGAAAATCATTGAAACCTTAATTTTTTGAGGCGACAGTTGTTCCACTTCTTTGGCCACACTCTCAACTTTGGTTGCATTCAAACCATTGATCACTACTTTAGCCCCCAATATAGCGAACAGTTTGACGATTCCCTCCCCAATGCCAGAACTACTTCCGGTCACCAAAACTACTTTTCCCGTAAAGTTTCGCGAGTTCTTCACCTCTTCGTAGTCTTTGATATCAAAATCATAAATATTTTTGGCGTTTACTATTGAAACAAATGCTAATAATAAAATAAACTTCATCGTTAAAGATAATGTTTTAAAATTAATTTCTAATTAGTTAAGTAAAATGACAAGAATTATTAGTTTTAAATAAATTCGTTTTGAAAATAGAGAATTTGTTAAATTAATTGTATTTGTATAATACAAGCGCTTTATATAGGGTTTTCTATTGTGGATTTTATTTAATTGTTTTTGTACCTGATGCACTTTTTTATTTTGAATAAGGAAACTACCTTTGCTTAATAGATCAACACTGAAGTTATTTAATGTAACTATTCAATATATTGCTTATTCTTAAGGTTAATCATAATTTTTGATTCATCAGATTGATTGACAGCTCCGTGATTATATCAAGGTAATCCATTTGATAAATAGTTTAGTGCAATAGCATCGTAGATGTACATTGATAAATCTAATTATAGCGTTTAAATATAGTTAACTATATAAAATTCGTTTGATTTATACAAAATACTAAAATAATGTAGACCACTTGTCAGTTTAAAATATTAAATATTTTAATAACATTTGACCCCTAATTAATTGAGTTCATTTAACAAAACAATTAAAATTTTCAAGCTCTACTAAAATAATTATACTGATATTTTAAAATAAATTAATTTTTAATTACTAAATTACTATATTATATAATAAATATTTATTTAAAATCGAAATGCAATGATAAAAATATTATTTTATTTTTAATTTTATCATGATTAAATCAATATAGCAATTTATGCAATATATTTAGCAACTAATTTAGTACAACACTGGTTGCTATGTATTAACAAAAATAAGAAAAATTTCAATAAAAGATTTGTTTTAGTGAATGAATTTCTAATGTCTTATAAAGTGATTGTATTTTAAAGTGGAGTCATATTATAGACGAGTCCGCCATCGATCACAAGATTGACACCCGTTATGAACTGAGCGTCAGTTGAGGCCAAAAATGCCACCCCTTTGGCGATGTCTAAGGGGGCACCCGCTCTACCCAAAGGTGTCTCCCTTTTCAATTGCTCCAACTTTTCTTTTGGTACCGCTATGTTTGGGTGCATAATGAACCCAGGACTTGCAAATAAATACCCGTATTAATTTCGCTATTAATAAATAGAGTATATATAAATGTACCTGATCCCATTAATTCGTACGCCTGTGGGTCCCAACTCCATGGCTAATACCTTTCCCATCATATCCATAGCCGCTTTGGCGCTATCGTAGGCCAAGTAGTTTAGCATCTGTTTTATAATCATTATTAGTATGAATAAGTTTATTTAAATTAAAACAATTTATTTTATTAAAGCATTGTAATATATACTAGATCAGTTTACAATCAGCACTTACAGGACGAGTGCCCTCAATACTCGAGATGTCTATAACTGTTCCGTTTGTTGCCTCCAAATATGGCACCGATTGGTGAATGAGTTGTACGACAGCTCTTAAGTCTACGCTAAAAATCTGATCCCATTTTGTGAGCAAATCCTTTTCAGTGATATTTGTAGTGAAATAAATGCCCGCATTATTCACCAAAACATCTAATTTTCCAAATGTTTTAATCGTTTCGTCCAAAAGTCTGGTCATATCCTCAGTCTTTGTCAGATCTCCGATCACTTCTAATGGCTATTCATTATAATACATAATAATTATANTTTCGTCCAAAAGTCTGGTCATATCCTCAGTCTTTGTCAGATCTCCGATCACTTCTAATGGCTATTCATTATAATACATAATAATTATAATTTATATTTGTTTATACTTTGTATTTAATTATACCTTTAGTTTATTGGGTGATAACTCTTGTACTTCTTGTGCCACTTTGTGGACTTCATCGGCTTTCCTACCGGTGACCACCACATGAGCGCCTAATATAGAGAACAGTTTGACGATTCCCTCCCCAATACCAGAACTACTTCCGGTCACCAAAACTACTTTTCCCGTAAAGTTTCGCGAGTTTTTCACGTCTTCGTAGTCTTTGATATCGAAATCATTGAAATCAATTGCATTCACTGTAATTGAAAACAACGCTAATAATAATATAAATTTCATTTTCATTGACATTGAATTTGACACTCAATACATTAATACAAATAATTAAAACGATTATATACCCACAAGTCAAGTGGTAATCAATGATAATATTTCACTCATGTTTTTAATATGAAGATTGAACCTTTTTGATTTGAAAATGTACTTTCGAAATGATTTGTCAATTTATCTCAACAATTCAGCACACCTTTCCCTCTTATATGAAACACTTATTATGCGGACAAACTCAAGCAATATTCAATCACATTTCTCATCAGGGCATTGTCAGACAGATTTCAATTACAATTAAAGTGCATTTGTGCCACAATATCAATGCTATTATGGCTGATATAATGATTTATAATGAATATTATGATTAATTCATTGATTATCTAATATTATAAGTTTATCATGTATTTAGAAATGAACACTTAACTTTGTTAAGTGTTACATCAAACATTAATATTTTCTTATATGAAATCATTATTTTTATGGTACATAATGTTGTACAGACTTTACTCCAAATTAGAAATTACAAGAACCTGATTAAAAGTTCAAAAATTGTTGCACTCTTACTTGTTAGATTATTATCCTGTCAAATTCTAGTAAATACTTAAAAACATTACCTCACCTCAATTGTTTGTAAATCCATTAGGTTAAACTATTACTTAATATTATTTTATCAATTTAAATCACTTTAATAGCTTTAATAACTTAATTATAAAAGTATAATTTAATCATCATTTATGATTCATCAATTACTAATTGAATACATGAAATTAATAAACAATCAGAATTTTATAGATTATTATTTTTGAATAGCAATAAAACAATAATAATTCATTTAATTTTCTAATGAATCAATCATCTTAAAAATCTTTATTTAATTGAATGCCAACAAATTGTAAAGCACTAAATTGATTGCTCAATAATTAGTAACACATTTAAAATTAAATTAATAAACATATAATAATAATAAGTTTTGTTTTAATTTTGTTTTAATTTTGTTTTAATGAATTAATTTAAATGTCATTCAAAGTGAGTGTCGTTTAAAATGGTGTTATATTGAAGACGAGTCCGCCATCGATGACAAGAGTGACACCCGTTATGAACAGAGCGTCAGTTGAGGCCAGAAATGCCACCCCTTTGGCGATATCTAAGGGGGCACCGGGTCTACCCAGTGGTGTCTCCCTTTTCAATTGGTCCACTTTGTCCTTTGGCACTGTTATGTTTGGATGCATAATGAACCCGGGCCTTTTACCATTATAAATAACAATTAGTATTTATTCAACAATTATTTGAAATGTATAAATACTTGATTGCATTGATTCGTATGCCTTTAGGTCCTAATTCCATGGCAATTACCTTTACCAACATATCCGTAGCCGCATAGGCACTATCGTAGGCCAGGTAGTTTAGCATCTGGTTCATGGATCAAAATCAAATTTAAATTATTATTTGGTGTTTACAAAATGCATATGATTTGTATGTTTTGTAATGTTATTTGACTATTGAAATGTGTAGTTAATGTAAATCTATACATACGGGACGAGTGGCTTCAATACTCGACATATCAATAACTGTTCCGTTAGTCTCCTCCAGATATGGCACCGATTGGTGAATGAGTTGTACGACAGCTCTTAAGTTAATGTTAAACATCTGATCCCATTTGGTTAGCAAATCCTTGTCAGTGATATTTGTCTCATAATAAATGCCCGCATTATTCACCAAAACATCTAATTTTCCAAATGTTTTAATCGTTTCGTCCAAAAGTCTGGTCATATCCTCAGTCTTTGTCAGATCTCCGATCACTTCTAATGGCTATTCATTATAATACATAATAATTATAATTTATATTTGTTTATACTTTGTATTTAATTATACCTTTAGTTTATTGGGTGATAACTGTTGCACTT